TTGTCTTGGTTGAATATGATTGTTCTGTAGTTTATTAATCCTGGGATAACTCTGACCTAGGTGCATGAATTATGAATTAAACTTTACTCCTTGAGCATCTGATTTGTGGTACTTGTGTGCCATGGAAACGGTGACAGCAAACACAGAAGCCAAATTCCCCATGTTCCTTATCTTTGCAGTGCCCTTGCAGGGACTTTTCCGACTGGAGGAGCACAGCTTACTCCTTTCATACTAAGAAAATATTTGAGCATATTATTTCAAAAGTCAGCCTGAAGTGTCCTTTTTTGTTGGATTTCTGTTGAAAACACGAGGATCGTGTTTCATGCTCTCTGTTTAGATAGGTGCTTGTCATTCTAACAATGAGAAAAGAAGGCTCAGTGTGTGAATGCCTGAATGGCACGGGGCCACAGAGAGGGAGAGGATGTTATGGGGGAATGTGGAAATGCATGAGCAAGACAAGGGCTTCATTGCATAGATTACCTGTGATGGTTTTAGTACCTGCATCTTGGAGAATCTCTCAGGTGGCACTAATTTGCAGCACAGTAAGTACAGAAAATAGCAAGTAATAAGAAATGCATTGAAATAGGTGAGCATTCAGGGAATAGCAAAACTGTATTCTGTAACAATGTTGTAAGAAAGGGCCTTGTTTTTCCTCAGAACATAAATGCTGGCAGCCACAGGAAAGCTGGAAAACCTCTGGAGAAGAGTTTATCCATATCTGTGGATTATGGTTAAGGTGGCAGATTGTCAGCATCTGATTGCCATGGTGCTGCAGTTTGCTTTAGCATTTGATTATGTGGGGGGGTGGGATATAAGACTTCACAATTGTCACTGATTATAGTGGTCACTGATGACGCTTAGCTGCCAGAATCTTGTCCTTCCAAGCTTCAGTTCTTCACAGATAAAGATTCATTTCAATTCCATCTTTGCTGAATCTTCCATGTTTTTTTTTTAAATTTTATTATTTAGAGCCTCTGCTTGACTCACTGCTATGCCACTAGAAAATTCTAAACTTCAAATTGATCTGGTCTCAGTAAAAGCTGTATCTTATGTGATCCTGTTATATGAGATGATGTAGTCTGTTAGGAGAGGAGGAATTGATTTATATTCAGATTCAATTTTTTGGTCTACTTGTAATTAGATTGATGTGCCTACTCACCATCTTGTCTGTACTGCAGTTCTAATTTTCCCTTATAAAACTGGTAGGTAGAGACAGCTGCAAATGCATTGAATTGATTCCTTATTACTATAATGTTGGGTAATTTGAGAATTCAAGCTACTGTTGAAAACTAATGTCCAGAGGAATTATCTGGGTTTCCATAATCAAACCATATATTTCTATATATTATATTCACATATGTCAAAAAAAAAGATACTAATGAAGTTTCCTGTGGATGGTGTGTTTTTTGGGATTTTTCTGGTGTCTTGTGGAGGCTGCTTCAAGTGAAATCATGTATTCTCATGCTGTAACACTTTTCTGTAATCTCCTCCCTTAGAATTTTCTAACGGCACCTATTAATTTTCTCCATCGATTTCAAATGCTATTGATGCTGAATAATGTATTGAATTAGCCCCAAACTTTCTGTGTAATCATTCCAATCTGTGCTTCTCTCTCAGCTTTTGCCTCTAAGGCTGACAAATGGCAGGAGGGGGAAAGGGCACTTTCCTGTCAGTGGCTGTGGAGCCTTTGCTCCTTGGGTTGTCAGAGCAGCGGTTTCTTCTGAAAGAGCTGTGAGAGAACAATGAAAATACTACTTAGCTTCATTTAAGAAGTCAAAACAAATATTAGCTGCAGCAAAAAGCTTCCTTATCTTATGAAACAGGACATTTTTATGGTTCCTGTAGTGTTTTCCATCTTTTCATTGTAATAATATCAGCTTATTTGTGAAATCCTGGATTGTATCGGTCAGAGCTAAGTTCACCTTTCTGTGTCTGTTCTTGCAGGGTCAAGAGGACAGATAAATTAGCTCAAAATTATACAAGTGGTTTTTTTTGCAGTTTAGAGTAAATGTTAACTGAATCCTCTACACATTTTTATGGGCATTGTATTGGTTATACACCAGTTCTGAGATTGGGCACATGGATTCAAACTGCAGCTGTATTGGTCTGGGAAAGGACAGAGTAAACTGTACAGCTTAATTTTATTTTTTTTTTACTCATTCTTGTCTTTTCTGTACTTCTGAGAATAAAATTAAGGAAGGTCTTTATATTTTTAAGCCAGCCCATAGAGGTAACATATGGTCAAATGCCAGCTGAACCATTTGTTTGCTAGGCAGCTCCTCTAAATCACAGAAAAAAATCAAGTCAGTTAAGCAGAAGACTGAGAAGCATTCTCAATTAGGATAACATGTTTTTTGGAAGCTGGGAACTTAGATGCACTATTATGGATAAAGCAGGAAGATAGACCAGCCTTGTCAGTCAATAGTGAAATACATCACCATTTGTGTATTTAACATTAGCTTAACATGGGAATTTTTTTCTTTTAAAGACTCCTTTAAAAATAAGACAGAATCGTATGCTCGAAGGTTATAAATGGAAATTGTTTCAAGCAGGAGAGGCTGTGCTGTGATTACTGGGGACATTCACCTGTGGAGTTTACCTACTTGAAACCCATCCCTGGTGTCTGCAGGAGGGAGTTAAGAAAAAGAGTAAAAAGGTCTAGGAAAATGGTTTCCAGAGATTTTAGAAAACAGGAAAGTAATGGGAAAATATCCCTATGATGTTTTTGCTGTTGCTGAGCATGGCAAAATTGAGGAGGCTATTATTATCCCTTTGTGGGAGCTGAAGGGAAGAAGCTGTCATTCTTTACTGCCAACCACCCTGTTTGAATTCCTTCAGAAAAAGATTGTGGAAATGCAACCGCTTGCATAAATTTTCAGCTCCAAATAAGGTCCCCACCCCTCTTTTAGCTGTGTAGGAGGGCACAGCCAAACAGATTTGAATTAGTTCGGACTGGACATGGGGAAAAGGCTCCTCGCTGTCAGGGTTGTCAGTCCCTGGCTGGACAGGGAGAATGCTGCGGCAGCTCCAGAGCTTCTGAAGAAGCCAGGGGAGCTTGCCCAGGGAGGTTTGCTTACTTGGGAAAGTTTTTGACGGTTCTGAACGTTGCTCTGTTAAATGTGTGCTGTTAAAATAATTTGGTGATGAAATACGGGTACACACTGGATTGAAAATAAATTGCTAAACCAAACCTTTTCTACCTGTAACTCTGTGTAAACACCAGACAAACCTCTAGGATGCATTAACATAATTTAACAGAGTATTTCAGAACAGATATGACCTTATGCGCACAAGTTAATGCATGTGAAAAAGCAGAATCCCTAATATCTATGCCTTTTTGAAAACACTCAGCAATGCAAAGGAAGCTTTCAAAATCTCTCCAGTGAATTTTACTGAATTTTAATATAGGTTGTATATTAGAAATGCATGTAAGTTTCCAAGATATCAAAGTTAGAGGTATTTCTGGGGTCACAGAGTCACCATTAGCAGCTGGTCTCTGTTAATTAGAAGCAAAAACAAATGATCACAACTACTTCAGTAGGATTTTTATACATGACTGCTCACTGAATAAAAAAAAATAAAATGGAGATTTTCTTTTATCCCAGAAAAAGGGAAATGGTAATGTATACTGTGAAATAATGATGTCATTATGAGCTAGTTGCATATTTAAAATATAACATCTGATTAGCGACTCTTAATTACCTGGCTATTTTCTTTAATAACAAACAACATTAATTTTTCCTTTCAAACATCAGGTTACTAAAACTGTAGAATGACAAACCTGCTGTAGGAACAAGGACAGCTACTTGAATTGGCCCATTATCAGCAAGTCAGTTGTATTTATGCCCTTGTAAAATTTCTAGGTGTTCTTGCACTGTGGAGGAAATGATAAGTATTTGGCCACTGTTTGGGAGAGGAATGAGCTTGAACCATTATCTAACTCTTGAAATTAGTGTTGATATATGCAAAACTACTTCAGATAAGATAAGCAGTGACATTTATGGTTGGACTCAATGATCTTAAAGGTCTTTTACTGACCTAAATGATTCTGTGATTGTAAATTTTTTGGGAAGCTGTCTAAATGAATAATTTCTGCTCCACATTCTAGTGTAATAATTGAGTAGTTAATTGAAGAGCAAATACAATGAGGCTCTGGTCCTCCTTTTCTCCTTCCCTCTCTACTCTTGTGCCTTTTGTTCAATATGTGAAATTTCTATTCCTTGCAACATAAACTTTAATATGCTTGTTCTCCAGCAGCTTTCATCATCATCCTTCTGCAGCTCTTCTATCATCTTCTTCTCTTGTGCTTCTAGGCTCTATGATTAATCTTCCAGCCTTGTCTTCAGTCCTCTGCAGCTGACTGAAGCTGCACTTGCTGAGGACTTCATTAAGGCTTTTATGGTTATACTGCAAAATAAATGAATCTCAGTTTCTCTACTGCTTATGAGACTCTTGCTCTTACCCTAAGACTTCTAGCTTCAGTTGCCATAAAAATCCCATCCTACTTCCATGGAAGGGCTTGAGTTTGTGCATTTGTTACAACAAGGAAGAGTGCTGATCCTTATTTTAGAAAATATGTAAATTATTAGGGGATCCAGAATTATTTTTAGTCATGTGTATCATGTAATCTCATTCTTCTGGGTCCTCTGTTAAGTGAAAAAGAAAACTGCAGTTGAAGATTGCGTAGTGGATTGAAATATTGCCATTTTATTTTGGAAGTGGACCTAATATATAAAAGTGTAATTTTCCTTGTCAACCAGTATTGCTGAATATTTTGCCATCAGTGGGCTGCAGTTCATAAAAGCATTTGCATGTTACTTCTTAAAATAAAGTAGTAAATGCATAACTGCTTATGTTCCATCAGTGGGTGTTTTTCCAGAAAGCATCATATTTTTGCCTGAGTATCACACAAGAATTGGAAGGTCTGTATTATTTTGTAATGATTTAAACCTTTTTACAGAATATCACTAATCAGTAAAAAAAATATTTTTTGCCTGCAGGGTGGAGTTCATTTCTTTTGTTCCTGAGAGCTGAATAGGAGAAAGGGACATTTCAGCTTTTCTTGATAAAGGTAAGACAGCATCTGCTGATAAGGATAAGACACTGTTCATTATTATGAGCTCATAGAGAGTTTGTCGATGGAGGGTTTGTTTATTTTGGGCTATTTTTCTCAACTTTTGTGCTTTGTAGTAAGTGCAATGTGTGATAATGTAACTGGTATTGGGAATGGAATGTGGAACTCTACCAAAGGTATCAGCAAAGGCTCTGAAGATAAACAGGTACCTGTAGATCAGCATGACAAAGTGGAGAGCAATTTGTTCTGCTGCTGGTACTTGTGATATTTTCCATGTGCCACTGAACTGGCCTGCCTAATTTCACTCCATCTTGCTTTCACAAACTCAGCAAGGGGTCTTAAAACCAGTAGAGTTTTCTCCATGCCACCTGTCAAAGGAATGTATAGGCTTGCCTGCTGCTACCTTCACTGCTCTGTACTGTTGTGAGAGAGTGCAGAGGTTGATGTGAGGAGAGAAGGACCTTGAGGTCTATTGTAATTGAGATAACACCTTCAAAATTAAGCAGCAAATAATTATTGTGCCTGTCAGAAATACAAGACAGAGAAGGGGATAAAACTCTGGAAGTCTTCTTAGGGACATGCCTAAGGGACAATCAAATCCTCAATGATTCATTCTTCATGTTGTGCTAAAAGGTCTGACTTTTTAGAGATTTGTGTGTTGAATTAAAGCCTGCAATAAACATTTAGAAGTAGAGCATACAGCTTAGTGTTGAACTCTTAATTACAGTTTTTGATGCAGAAATCTACTTAGGACTCTCTTTCCTTATTTCCATTTGGCAAATTTTGGAAAGTGGGGGTGGGTTTGATGTGACAACTGCTAGTTGTGATGTTGGTCTGGTTTAGCAGTGGCCATCTGTGTGACCTTCATGCAATGCAGGTAGAGAGCAGAGGTGTGGCTCAATTTCTGTTGCCTTCTGATACAAGGCAGGCGACCTGGTTTCAAGAGACAGCACGGCGACCCATTCTCCAGGGCCACTCAGGCCTAAGAAACACGCAGACACCAAAGTGGTGGACAGTCAAAGACCTTTATTATCTCTTCTCGTGGGGTTTTATTGTCTAAGGGGCTTCTCTACATCAAAGGAGTCTGTCTTTACCATCTATGGTTAGTAAGGGATGGAAACTTACTGGGTAAATGGAAAATTACTGGCATCTGGTTTAGGGGGCTGCATTCCTATGTTAATTTTCTTATCCAAGGGAACAGGGGCCCTGTCTTCCCGTAACATCGCGAGATCTTCCGAATGCCTGACCTATCTACCACAATTTCTGTTCCAAGGGGCTGGAATTCATACATGGTCATTTCTAATTTATGCTGTGACAGAGGCTGCAGGCTCTCATTGAAGGTGGTAATGTCCTTTAACCAAGCCAATTACTGCCTAATCAGTAATTGCATCTGCAGATCCACTTTTGACTTGTTCAGCAATGAATTTACCAGGATGGTAGAGTGAAGACTTGAAGACTCCAGTTGTATGTTGATATTTAGGCTATCAGGAACAGCACAGCATAAGTCTACTTCTTGAAAGTTGAATAGTTTGGAAAAAAGACAACTTGTGTTCTGTGATTTTCAAATTTACTCAGCATGTATAATTTCACAGGTTAAACTGTTGTTGGAAGAATTCTCAATCAATCATAAAGGGAGAAAAAAATTTCCTGCTGAAGTGATATTTTATTGAAGGACTTGTAGACTCCCAGTGAAGGAATATGTTAAACAGCTAAAGATGCAGGGTGAAAAATTGCTATGTTAACATACATGAAAATATATTAATAATAATTTACTGATAAATTAATGTGGCCTGAGTTTAATCTCATTCTGGGAAAACCCATGTTCAAGGAAATGAAAATTTAGTGTGTTAGGGTCTAATTGAATATGATTTCTTTTTTCTTTCTTTTTTTCCCCCTTCTTTCCTACACTGGGGAACTCCTGTAAAGTAATAAATAAATGCAAAAAAGAACATGAGCTTAAATATTTATTAGCACCTACAGTGATAACTTGCTGGTTACAGTCATATACTTTTCTTCCCATCCTGATGATAATCAGTTGCCTGGGTAAAGCACAGTTCTCTGGTGAACAGGGTACTCTTGTATTTTCTGAACCTTGAGCAGAAGTTACGGCTTCTTAGAGGTTGCTCCATGTTTCTTGTACATCCATTAAAAGTGCTCAGATACACAGATATATATATATGTGTATATTTATTTATATAGACATATCTTTATATATAGATATACATAGGCTGGATTGAACTTGCTGCTTTCTTTCTCTATTTAGAAAGAAAATCAGTATATCTGGAGTCTCTGTGGTGTGTTCTCCCCGTGGCTGCACAAACAGAGCAGCAGCACTTTGCTTGCTTTTTGTTTCTTTGTGGGAGTGGAAGAGCTTGGAGTTCGCACTTAAATTTACCAGTGTCCAGCAGGATTTAAGGATTGCATTTAATGACAGAAATTCCCAAACATAATCAGTGGCAGATTCAGTTTCTGGCTGTGTGAAGTGCTGATTGTGTGTAGCTATGGGAGGAATCTGAGCTGTACGGGCAGGATCAGCTAACAGTGCCATGGAAAGTTAGTTGTAGTTGTTAAGTTGTGATGCTTCCCCATATCATAATTACTACTTCAGCTTAAATACTTCTGCAATGGCTGCAGGCTTCATGAAGGGAAAACATGTTAGCTGTTCCCTGCTCCCACCTGAAGTCTGGTCCAGAATGCCCTTGAGTATTAATTTAGCTTTATTTTCAGCATGATACACTTCTGTATTATACACAGATAGTCATGTCTGTAAATTGGCTGTGAGAGTAGGAGAAATGCTTTAAAAGTTTGCTTAAATATGTGCCAGCAGGCTGCCCGCTCAGACTGGGAACACTCAGATGCTTGGGAGTGGAAGGCCAGAAGCTGCCCTTCAGCTTTTCCTGTGTCTTCCCTCCCAGTTATGATGAGCTGTGTAATTTTTTTCACCAGAACATAGTTCAAGTTCAGGCCAACAATCCTCCCCACTTCTTCCTAATTCTTTTCTCCCTGAGCCTTAAATCAAAAACCCCTTGGGAGAGTGGCACTCTCCATACTTGTCTGGTTTATAATTGAACACATGCATGTTCCGGTCAGTCTTCTCCCTGAAGAGAGAGCTGTGTCAGAAAGCAAATGCTGTCCTCAGAAATAATATTTGCCTCAAAGGAGCTTGACCTGCTTTGTGATGTCTTTGGAAACAAAGTGCAGGAATAAGCATAATATTGTAAATGAAGCAGGGAAAATAGCATTGCTGTTTTCCTAAAATAAGAACAGAGCTTTAATACTCCTGAAATGTTTGGTTTGCTGGGGGAGCTTAACTTTCCAGGAAGTTGGATGTTGTCTTGACTTGTTTATTTTGGATATTTCCACTAATTGATTGTAACCTAATTATCCACATCCTAAGGCAGGCCTCTGAAACAGCCAGTAACTACAGTTGCAAAGATTTATTGTTATTCTTCCACTGAAGGAGGAGAATTGAGAGGTATTTATGTTTTCAGTGGTGTATAAAGCTGCAAGTGGAGTCACAGAGACTATGAAGTGTGTGATGTTTTGTGTCTGGGAACTATCTTTCAGGAACTGTTCTCATGATTCAGTTTATAGGTTCATGTTATAATTTTGAACAAATATCAACAGGGCAAGGCTGATTTGTGTAGAAATTTATGCAAGGGGACATTTTGTTATCTTTCCTGTTCAATATTCTAAGAAAACAGTCTATTCTAGATTACTGGTAGGCCATTTTCAGCTCAGGAAGGTGACTAAAACCTTAATGCTGGGGAATGCATCTCTTTCTCACATAGTGGCTCATTTTCTTTTGTTTCTAAAAGGTGATCAGTCTAAAAGAGGGAGTTTGGGGGTGGAGTGCATGTTGCTGAACAGAGTGGAGCAAGTTACTCATTCTTCAGAATAGCCAGAAGGTAAACTCAAGTGCACTTGAAAACCATGCTGGTAAAATACCCCATGTGCAGTTCAGGCTGTTAAATACAATGTTTACTATTGACTTTTTTATTGGGTTAGAGAAAGAATCGCCCCCTGAGAACGCACTGGGAAAAATGTGCCGTGCAGGATGTTAAAAAGTGGCAGTGTAGAGTGTAGTGCTTTGCACCCTGCCACAGCCACCTAAATGTGTGTGGGAATATGCACATATATGGATTTATTCAATAGACACATATATAAATATTCTGTAAATAAATATACACGTATTCATATATAGGCATATATTGTGGAAGGCAGGAAGATGTGCAGGAAGCTTTTTTTTTCAATAGAAGAGGAAAAGGGAGTGAAGGGGTTGATGGTATGATTTACCAGCTAGACTGAAGTTTGGATCAGACTGGGAGTCAGATTCTATTGAGATATATATTTATAATGCAGAGGGAGAAGAGGTAGAAAAAAAACTACTCAAAAGTCTCCAACTTACAGTGCTTGAGAAATGGGAAAGAAGTCTGACACCACAGACTCTTCATGGATAACCTGCTGGTTAAAGTATTAGTTATGATGTGATTAAAAAAAGACTTATTCAGGTATTTATGAAAAGATGAAAATAAGGTTAAACAGTGGTGGCAAGGCCAGAGTAACATAAACTTTGCAGCCTCAAGGGATAAAAAGCAGGATGTAAACACAGAAACTAAACCCACCTTATCTTGGTACAGAAAGTACAATTTGCGTCTCCCTTGGCCTTGGATAAAAAGGCAAACTGTGAGATGCCAAACAAGTTCTATCCACTGATAGTGAAAACAAACTTGTGGTATGAAATGAGATGAAAAATTTTCGTCACAAATGTACATCTTGTGGATTCATGGAGCTGTAAATCCACTGTTGAAAATGTGTTGTGTGGTGAGTCCAGAGTAAAAGAGGAGGAAGCTGAATAAGATTTTAATTTTTCCAGAGTTGCCAGTAGCTGACTGAGACTATTTTAACTGAATCCTGGCATATTAGTATGAAAATACTGACTACATCAACCAATGTTGTCTAGTAGAATAGCAGAAAGCACTTTGGAAATAAGTTGG